AGGCTAGATGATCTGTTTGGGTCTCTCCTGACCCTAGCTACTATGAAACTATGAAACTCATTGTCTGCTCAAGTTGTGATTCACTTGTACATTCCCCCCCAATTTTTTCCTGTTTGTGAGCAGCAGGTCAGGAAGAGTACAGCCCCTAGTTGGCCTCTCCAACACTTGCACCAGGAAGTTGTCCCCAACACTCTTCAAAAACTTCCTGGATTGCCTGGACATTGCTGTATTGCCCTTCCAGTAGGTGTCAGGGTGTCAAGTCTCCCATGAGAACCAGGGCCTGTGATATGAAAACATCCTCTGGCTCTTTAAAGAAATCCTCATCCACCTCATCCTCCTGGTCTGGTGCTCTGTAGCAGACACCCACCATGATATCACCCTTGTTGCTCTCCCCTTTCACCCTAACCAAGAGACTCTCAACAGGCCTATTTCTAGTTTCACATTGGAGGAGAATATGAAAACCTCCCCTGCTGCCCCTTCCTGCTTGTGCTTCCTCCAGGTCACCTGCTTCCCTATGTTCCTCAGGGCTTTGGTCTTCATCCCCCAGCAATCCAAATTTAAAATCCTCCTCAGTAGGTTTATGAGTTTGTCTGTGATGATGCTCTTCTCTCTTTTTGTCAGGTGGATCTCATCTCTTCCTAGCAATCCTTCTTCTTGGAACAATATCTTGTGGTCATAAAAGCCAAAGCCCCAGTGGTAACATCATCAGCACAGCCATGCATTAAACTGCAGGATGCATCCGCTCCTGTCCAGGCCTTTCTCCTCGACCAGAAGGATTGAGGGAAACACCATCTGAGCCCCTGTCTATTTCACCCCCACATCCAGAGCTCTGTAGTCACTTTTGAACTGCTTAGCATCCCCCCTGGCTGTTATCGTTGGTGCCCACATGGATAAGCAGCATGGGGTAGTAGTTAGGGGTCCAAATGAGTTTTGGCAATCCTTCCATGAATCTGGGCAAGAGCAGACCTCCTGAGACAACAGGTCAGGCCAACAGATGGATGCCTCCAACCCCTGCAGAAGGAAGTCTCTAACCACCTCTATCCATCACTTCCTTTTGGTGGCAGTGGTCTTTATCCTCCCAACCTTGGGACAGCCTGGCCTGGCCTAGCATCTTCTGCTGACAGAATGTTCTCCTTCTCCTTTGTTGATAGGGCTCCCTATATGTTCTCTAGGCAAACTGCTACAGAAGGTGATGAAGACTTCATCTTGCTGCCAGAGGTCACAACAGGGCTGGCCTATGGGTAACTGGCAACCACCACTTCCAATATAGAGGAAAATAAGAAGTCTAGAATGAACTTTTAGATGTACTTATTTGATATTCAAATGAACAATAAAAACAATTTATTTTTATTGATTGATTCACACTTTTCATTAATGTATGTCAAAGTCCTTTCCCTAAAACTGCTTACTAGTAAGGTTGATCTCAAAAAGGATGTTATACCACAAAATGAGTGAAATCACAAATTTGGACTTGGAAAGGCCATTTGCAAGAGCTACTGCATCAACGTGTGTTGTATTGCCAGGTGATCCTGTGAGGGAAGTATCATCAGAAATTTCAATTAGTGTATCATAGATATTGCCAAGCTCATAGCAAAGAGGCTTCAAGGCATTGATTTGACTCTCCCATCTTGTTTCACTCAACAGTTTCACAGTTAGAGAAGGTACATGGCAACTAAGAACTTCCCAATGGCGTGTTGAACGTGTGTCTGTAGGTGAATACATTTTCTTGATTTCAATGTCAGTTTGATGCTGTGAGTTGCCTTCATCTTGAAGTAATCTGTCTTCATCTTGATGTGAGCTGCCTTCATCTTGATGTTATGAACTGCTTGCATCTTGATGTGGATGAAATTGAAGATATTTCAGGAAGGAACCCTCTTGCTTTGCTTTTTCTTTTGCCTGTTCAGCTTTTCGTTTACAATACTGAGCTCCAGACAGTTTTTTCCTATCTGTCATGGTACCATTCCCCTGAAACAGTTTTAAACTGTTTCAAATAAATTATGAATATAAAGAACAATCAATCAAAGTACAATTTCAAAGAAAATTCTGACTGTGATGGCATTAATAATGTGGACAATTGATTAAATTATCATGGAAGAGAATATAGCTAGGCACTGCCTAAAGTGGCTTAAGGGGCGAAGCACCCCTGCAATCAGGAAAGTATTTGTTAGGATATATGACTAAGGGTGTAAATATGCTAACTGGTTATCTAATGTTGGTCAAGATTGTGTGGTCAAGCAAATGTTTTCCTGTTTATCAAGGAGATTTGTAAACTAACTATTATTTCCTCTGTACAGTACTCTACTAATTGACATCTTTTATCTAGTAGGTAGCCAGGTTCTCCCAGCAAATTAACACTTCCTTAGCATGGTCTTCTGCAAAGTAAATTGTGATTGTCCATTGAGTAGTTATGTTTACTTATCTCACATATCCCATGAGATTTCTGGGTCGACCAACCTTACATGTTCTGTACACAAAGTCATACAACTGTTTCCTTACACAACAATGATACAGGTGTTATATAAAAAACTAATTAAATAATATCTCTTGAGCCTGCTAGCAATTAATTAGCACTCGTTCTGCATTAACACACATATTTTAAATGCCTATGTATCTCTCACATGAGTATCCAACCATAATATGTTCACAAAGGCTTACCCCTAGCTCAACTTACTTTAAAAAAATCACATGCGTTCTTACAAGATTTAAATGTAACAATTCAGCAATCCTACTCCAACCATTTCTAGACATTATAAAATTGAGAATATGAAACATGACCACTCAGGTGTACCTACGATAATAACTACATTTGTATATCAGTTCTACATAATTTAAATTTAATGAGATCTACAAAATCAAACCAAGAAATTCCTACCTTGAAGCCTGTTTCCTGAATTATGGACACAATACATATCTGTACCTGGAGTCAGCGTATTTTGGTCATCTTAACTCTTGACAAAATCTTAAACACAACTGATGAAATTTAGGGTGCTTTAGATTTAAAAAAGGGTGGTTGGAAGGGAGAAGGAAGGTGTAAGAAATCAATGTCATGAGCTGTAAGATGATATAGGAGTAGGGGTTCATCTTTTAGGATGACATTGCCAGCGGTAGGCTCTTGTCATAAGTCCACTTGATAGTTGAAAAGGTAGGAGTTATGATTCTAGAGATCTTTCCTTTGAGATCTTTTCAGAGGTCTTTCTCCCCTTACCGAACCACAGGTCTTAGACCAAGCTGGAGCCGTAGCTGGCCAGGGCTGTTATTTAGAACGATGTTCCTGTTATTTTGTTCTTCATATAATTTTGGCGCACACACCGCCCCCACAATTTTGGCACTCTAGGTGACCGCCTAGTTTGCCTAATGGTTGGACTGGCCCTGGGTTACAAGCTTCCAACTTCTGCCTTCCTGGGAGTCAATGTCCTCTTCCTTCTCCAGCACCACCTCTGGCAGCCCTTTATCTGCAGTCCTAGAGATCTCTTCCAGCATCGAATTAACAAACTCCTCATGGCTGAGGATACTTCAGTCTTGCCACCTCCTTCTGTAGCTCTCTTGCCTGCTCCCTGAGGGACATCACCAGATGGCACAGCTCACATTGCAGTCATTCCTCCACCTAGCTCTCACTGGAAGGAACCTGCAAGGTGCAGTCTCCAAGCACCAACCAGGACCTGGGTGGGAGCCTCGATGTTGAGTGGTCTGGCCTAAACAGACACCTCATAGGTCCAATCACGGAAGACCTGGCAGTGGCAGTGGCTCTGGCATTGCAAGATCCTCTGGCAAGATCTCTCTGGCTCTCTTAAATCTGCCACTTATCTCTTCCTACCCCTCTCTCCATGCTGACCTTCCCTAGCAAACACCACTGTAAGATGGCCTGTTCACTGTTCCTTGGTCCCAAAATGTTCCCTTTTCTCTGATAACCTGCTTCCTCTCATCAAGCTTACAGTGAAGGAAGGTGAAAGTGAATTTCAAGGCAAACTCCCTAGTGAACTCCCCACTCGCTCTGGTCTCTAGTTAAACAAGTTACTTAAATATTGACCTAACTGCTAAGTTTTTACAACTTATGTAAATTATCTAGGTTAGTTACTCTTAAAGAGCTTATCTTAAAAGTACCCTTTCAGAGAGAGGGGTGGCAAACTGATTTGCAAACTGCCCGGTTTGCTATCCCTGTTCACTCACTTCCTAGTCAGTCAGGGAGCATGTCTACATGTGTGCTTTAGTGCACAGTAACCTATTATACTGCTCATTAAAGTATCACATAAAAAACCATGCTAATACACTAATGCACAGTAAAAATAAGCTACTACATATTAAGCATCAATAAAAAGAGTGCACTTTTGCTATTTAGCTTTAGGGTAGCCTCGTGCATTTATTTAGTACCTCACATTAGACGGCATTTATACATACACTCCAGGAGT